AGCACTGAATATGAGGTTCGCGCCTGCGCGGGAGCGAGGTTTTGTGTTGAGTTGCATTGCTGGCAGATTTCGATTTAGGGGGGGATTTGCACGTGGTGCAGTTACGAAATTGCTCAATGCGTGAATCCAACGCAAGACATGACACTTGGCCGAAGTGGGGGAAATTTGCCGATTACACTCCGTCGGCGTTAATGTGCAAAGCGAAGACGCCAAGCCGACCACGTGCCCACGACTGCACCTGATCCACCCACGTCGACCTCGGGATACCACCTCCCAGAACCACCTGGGCGATCGTCGTGCACCTCCACAAAACGTCGTCACCCGGGTAACTTTGTCAACCTGGAATCCACCACGACGGCATCGACTTCCTTGGAAAAAATTGACCGAAAGTTGTACTTGTTCATGTCGGACATTCCCTTACCCTTCTGGATCCTTGCCCGCACCTCCTCACGACATGTCCCCCTTTTTTCCCCTTCCTCCCCACCTTGCTTTTCCTTCCTTCCCCCTTTTGCTTATCTAGGTCTCATGCTTTGTGCTTTCCTCACTGCTCCTTGTGCTTGATATCTCCTATAATAAGCCCACTTGGCTTATTCACTCTCTTGCCTACATACTTCTATAACTTCCCTAGTGTCTGTTATGGCCTGCTGTCTCACGAATACTCGAGCTTGAAGCAATTACATGAGATTATCACAGAACATACAAACAATGCAGATTCATTCGTCCGTACACCCTATATCCTGCCTGAGCTCCTCCCACTATTGCTACACCTTAGGGTTCTTTGGAGGTGGTGGTCTTCCCACTGAAGCGAAGAGCCAACCTTCCCTTCCGCTTGCCACCAACACTTAGCCGTCCAAGTGCCGATCCTCCAGCTTGCGGCTGTAACCCCAGCTGGCTCGGGCATTTAACCTTCAAGAAAACAAATATGCACTCACACATGAAACAAAGTTGCGCCTTCCAACTATCACACCCCCCTTTCCCCTCATGCTGCCCTCCGTCCGACGTGTTACCCTACTGTCCGCCATCCCATCATCCTTACCTCGCTTCCACATTCCTCGGTATTCACTCCTTCAGCGGACTGTACAAATATACAGAATATATAAACCATTACTCCTTCTCCTTATCTTGCGACAGCTGTCGGAAATTCCCTTACCCTTCTGGATCCTTGCCTGCACCTCCTCAAGACATGTTTCCCCCTTTCTTCCACTTCCTCCTCACCCTGCTTTTCCTCCCTTCCCCCTTTTGCTTCTCTAGGTCTCCTGCTCTGTGATCTCCTCACTGCTCCTTGTGCTTAATATCTCCTTGCCCCCTCCCGTGGCCTTTAGCCGCCCTCGCCCTTGCCACGGGACCCTGATACTCTCCCGTCTTGTCTCCCGCCCTCGCCACATTGGTGATGTGACCACTGCTCGCACCCCAGCCTCACTCTCCAGAACCAGCACTCCCGAATCCCGAATCTCTTTAACGGTCTAGCGCTGATGAGACAGCCCCACATCCAGTCCATCCTTCTTGGGGTGGCAAATATACACATCTGGGCCCTGCTATAGGGCTGCTAGCGCCCCGCCAGCCTGATGCTCCTGTCGTTGCTTGTAGCGATGAATGTCCCGCAGCTGGGCGACGTGCAGGCTTTCCAGTGCCACTGGTAGCAGGCGCCGTAGATATTCTCCGCGAACGGTCGCAAGAGCAGCCCATTTCTCAGACGAGCCGGCCGTGACCACATCCGTCAGCACTTGTGGTGCCCCCACAGGGAGGACCGCCTCCCTCCCAAAGAGCAGATGATATGGGGAAAGGTCCTTGAGTGCCGCCTGCTTACTGAACCTGTACCCCGCCATGACCCAGTGAAGGTACCTATTCCAGTCCCGCTTCTTGGTCTCTCCATAAGCTCGCATCCCACGCTTCAGAGTCTGAATGAGTTGCTCCGTGAGCCCATCGCTCTGTGGATGATACCGCGATGTGGTGCGGTGTGGGATCAGGCACGAGGCTAGCAGCTCGTCAAACTCTCCTTGGAACTCCGTCAACACCTCCCCGCATGCTCCAAAGCGAGTCAGCACCTCCTCTTCGAAGGCGTCTGCCACTACCTCCGCCGTTTTGTGACTCAATGCCCGCACCTCCACCCATTTACTTACATGCTCAATCATAACCACCACGTATCGCCGCCCTCACTTGGTTAGTGTCAGCTCTCCTGCCAAGTCCAGTGACCACCGGTACCCCAGTCCCATGACTGGCAGCGACTGCAGCTCGGCCTTGCTCCTCTCGAAGGCAGCCCAGTTCATGATGCATGCTGAGCACTTGGCCACCCAGTCCTTGATCTCCTTACGCATGCCTGCCCACCACCATCTTGTCTGCAGTAGATGCTGCGTGCGAAGCGGGCCAAAATGCCACAACTTATTGTGCACCTCCTGTATGATTTCCTCCCTTTCCTTCGGCTCAAGCACTCACTTCCACCCATCCTGCGTTCGAATCTGCACTTGGTTCTGGTACCAGCGGTAATGCTGTCCCCTGCTCCTTGCCCGTACGGATACTGTTGCTCCCTCGGCCATCTCGCCTCGTAGCAAGGCCAATGTTTCCTGATCTTCCCACACATCTGGAGCCACGCTTGCTGCTCCCTGCGGAGCGGTGTGGCTGGGTCTGGTGTCATGGCCACAAGCGCCACTTCGGGCGCCACTGTGGGCGGATTCCGGGACAGCCCATCGACATGCTGCATGGTTTTGCCCAGGCAATGTCGTATGACAAACTGGTATTCCTAAAGCTTCATCGCCCATCGAGCATTCCGCCCCGTGAGGGCCTGGTTCTGCATCAGCCGCAACTGGGGCTGGTGATCTGTGACCAGCGTGAACGGTCGGCCCTGCAAATAGACTCGGAAGTGGCCCACTGCCCACACTGCAGCCAGCCCTTCGCCCTCATAGGAGGAATAGTTGGCTTTTGCTGGGTTGCACAACCGGCTGGCGAAGGCCACCACCTTCTCTTCCCCGCCTTCCTGCTGGCTCAGGATTGCTCCCATGCCTGTGCTGCTCTAGTCCGTATAGAGAACGAAAGGCTCGCTCGCCCGCGGCAGTTGCAGCACTGCTCAATCCTTCACGGCTCCCATCAGTTCCTTCAGCGTCGCCCTCTAAGGTTCTCCCCACTGCCACTTCAGATCATCCCGCAGCAGCTTGTTCAATGGCGCCGCCCGCTTGCTGAAGTTCTCCATGAGCTTCCGATAATAGTTCAGAAACCCCAGTAGCGCCCTCAGGGTGCTCTTGTCCTTAGGCTGTGCCACTCGGTCGAGGATGGCCACCTTGGCTTTCTAAATCGTTTCGGGCCCCACGGCCGTGGGCAAGTCGCGCCTAGTGCTGGCCGTGGCGCAGGCAGTGCGCGGCGGCGAGGGCGAGGTGGTGAGCGCGGACTCGGTGGCGGTGTACCGCGGGCTGGACGTGGGGTCCGCCAAGGCCTCCTCCGCCCAGCAGCGCCGCGTGCCCCACCACCTGCTGGACATCCGCGAGCCGTGCCAAGGTGGGGCACGGTGGGGCACAGTGGGGCAAGGTGGGTCACGGTAGGGCACGGTGGGTGGGCTGTGCGAGGTGGCGGGGCTGTGCAGTGGGTGCGAGGCAAGAAAGGTGAGTTATGGAATGGTGCGAGTGAGGTGCAGGGAGCGTGCAGGGAGGGAGAAAGGCAAGGTAGTTTGATGATGGTGAAGACACAGACACGCCGTCAGCAGCACCCTGCCAGTAGCAGCATGTCAGCAGGAGCATCCCCCCTCCTCCCCCCAGTCATCCCCAATCCTCACCCCCGTCATCCCCCATCCTCCCCCCCCGTCATACCCCCTCTTTCCCCCACCATCCTCCCTCCTTCCCCCATCATCTCCCCTCCCACATCCTCCCCCCTCCTTCCCTCATCATCCCCCCTCCTCCCCACATCATGCCCCCTCCTTCCCCCATCATTCCCCCTCCTCCCGTCGTCATGCCCCCTCCTCCCCCCATCCCCCCTCCTCACCCAGTCATCCCCCCTCCTCCCCCCATCATCCCCCCTCCTCCCGCCATCATCCCCCCTTCCCCCCCTGCATCCCGCTCTGCCCCCCCAGAGTTCACGGCGGGCGACTTCTACGAGGAGGTGCGCGCGGCGGTGGAGGGCGTGGTGCAGCGGGGGGGCGTGCTGGTGGTGGTGGGCGGCACGGGGCTGTACCTGGCATGGCTGCTGCACGGCCGCCCCGCCACGCCCCCCTCCTGCCCCAACCTGGAGCGCACCGTGGCTGCCGACATCCACGCCACTGTCATGCGCGCCCGCCGGGCCACGAGGGGTACGAGGAGTGTAGGGGCGGTTGGTGGGGCAGAAGAGGCAGCAGGTGGGGATGCAGCAGAAGGAGTGATGGAGGGACGGGCGTCAGCAGTGGACGCAGTGAGGGGCGGCTTGGAGATAGCATTGAGTGCCAACGAGAGGAGCAAGGAGGGCAACAATGTTGCGGGTGTGGGTGTGGGGGGAGGTGGCATGGTTGTGGGGGGAATGGAGGGGGAGAAGGGGCAGGCCGAAGTGTGGAGAGGGGGAGAGGCGAGGGAGCGGGGGTAGGCGAGGAGGCAGCCGCGTGTGCGGTACACAGAGGAGGGCAACTGGGAGGCTGCTCTGGCTGCTCTTGCTGCTTCGGGCGACCCAATCGCTGCAGGCCAGCTGGCACGGAATGACTGGTACCGGCTGACCAGGGCATTTGAGGTCCTCAGGGTATGTGTGCGTGTGGGGGCCACTGTGTGCGTGTGGAGGGGGCAAGAGTGGTGAAGAGGCAAGAGTGCTGAAAGCATAATCGTGGAGGAGTGTCCCCCATCCAGCAGGCCAGGGACAGTGAGGTGAGCGGCACTAAATCGCAACCAGCAGGCCAGGGACAGTGAGCAACACTAAATCGCAACCAGCAGGCCAGGGACAGTGAGCGACACGAAATCGCAACCAGCAGGGCAAGGTGAGGTGAGCCATGGTGCAAGGTGAGGCGAGCCATGGTGCAAGGTGAGGCGAGCCATGGTGCTCGGTAGGTGGAGGGACGCATGGCCTTTGAGGTCGTACTTGGTGTCTGCTGTACCCTTCTCTCACCATTGCCCTCGCCCGTATGCTCCACACGAGGCCTCGTGCCTTTCACAACCCCACGGCGCTCCGCCTTCCTCGTGCATCCATCTCCTGCCTTCCTCGTGCACCCATCTCCTGCCTTCCTCGTGCACCCATCTCCTGCCTTCCTCGTGCACCCATCTCCTGCCTTCCTCGTGCACCCATCTCCTGCCTTCCTCGTGCACCCATCTCCTGCCTTCCTCGTGCACCCATCTCCTGCCTTCCTCGTGCACCCATCTCCTGCCTTCCTCGTGCACCCATCTCCTGCCTTCCTCGTGCACCCATCTCCTGCCTTCCTCGTGCACCCATCTCCTGCCTTCCTCGTGCACCCATCTCCTGCCTTCCTCGTGCACCCATCTCCTGCCTTCCTCGTGCACCCATCTCCTGCCTTCCTCGTGCACCCATCTCCTGCCTTCCTCGTGCACCCATCTCCTGCCTTCCTCGTGCACCCATCTCCTGCCTTCCTCGTGCACCCATCTCCTGCCTTCCTCGTGCACCCATCTCCTGCCTTCCTCGTGCACCCATCTCCTGCCTTCCTCGTGCACCCATCTCCTGCCTTCCTCGTGCACCCATCTCCTGCCTTCCTCGTGCACCCATCTCCTGCCTTGCTCTGCATGCCCCATCGCCCCTTGCCCTCACCCGTGCTCTCTCCTCGCACGTGGCGGGCAGGCAGGCTGCTGGAGGAGAGTCTAGCGCTGCTGCGCGCGGGGCTGCTGCCCGACTCCTCCTCGCCCACGTGCGCCATCGGCTACCGCCAGGCCATGGCCTTCCTGCTTCACTTCCACCGCCTCATGGAGCAAGTGGGGAGCAGTGAGGAGCCAGGGCAGCAAGGGAAGCAGGTGGAGGTGCAGGCGGCGCTGCAGGCGGCACTGCAGGTGGCACTGCAGGCGGCGCTGGTGGCGTTCATCTTGGAGTTCCAACAGGCGTTGCGGCGCTACGCCAGGTGCCAGATCACGTGGTTCCGCTCCCAACCGCTCTTCCAATGGCTGCCCGCCCATGCCCCCCTGGTGCGCGGAATTGCCCCCCTGGTGCGCGAAATTGCCCCCCTGGTGCGCGGAATTACCCTCTTGGTGCGCAGAATCGCCCTCCTGGTGCGCGAAATTGCCCCCCTGGTGCACAGAATTGCCCCCCTGGTGGGGCTCATGCTCCGCTGGTGAAGCAACATTGGTGGGTGAAGCAACATAGGTGCGTGAAGCAGCAAAGGTGCGTGAAGCAACATAGGTGTGTGAAGCAACATAGGTGCGTGAAGCAACAAAGGTGCGTGAAGCAACATAGGTGTGTGAAGCAGCAAAGGTGCGTGAAGCAACATAGGTGCGTGAGGCAACAAAGGTGTGTGAAGCAACAAAGGTGCGTGAAGCAACACAGGTGCGTGAAGCAACATATGTGCGTGAAGCAATAGTGTGCTGATGTTTCAAACCACTTGGTCGGTTATTGCTGGTGGGAAGAAATCTCCTTGCCTGAACCAGGTCCTTGGGTTTAAGGTCGCCCAGGTCATTGGCTGTACTCCTGAGCACATGCTCATTCAATTATTCCGTTTCATCCTCCCCTCCCCCTCTCTGCCCGCCCCAGGATGAGCTAGTGGAGATGGTGCTGTGGGACTTTGATGAGACCATGTGTGCAGAGGGGCAAGCGAGTGGGGAGGGGAGGGGAGGGGCAGAGAGCAAAGGGGGGCAGGGTGGTGGTGGAGAAGACGGCAGTGGGGGGGCGTGGGACAGGGCAGTGAGGCGAGAGCAGCACAGGGAGAGGGCGGAGGAGGAGAGGGCGGAGGAGGAGAGGGCGCTCAAGGGGTACCGGGCAAAGCTTGAGTGCAACTCACTCCCACGCCATCCTTGCATGCCCTCTGCATTGTCCACTGTCTCTTGTGTCGTTGCCTTCTCTCCTCTCTCCTCTCGTGCTCTCTGCAGTTTCGCTCACTCTTCTTTTCTTTTACTTGCTTTCCTCTGTCATTGCCAGCTCTCGTTCACTACTGCATAAATGTCTCTCATCTTTCTTCAACTGCCCAACTCAATTCCCCCCACTTGCATGCTGACACTTCCTTTCTGTTCTGTTCTCCTGGCCCCATGACCAGTGCACGGTGCTGCACCCAGTAGTGCATGATGGTGCGCCCACTGCTGGGGAGACGACACCAGTGCAGCCGTCCGTGCACCTTACCGTGCTGCCGTCCCCCACCCCACAGGATCTACTGCGACCAGCAGGCCATCGATGCCACGCTGGCGTGGATTCGAGCCAACGTTACACTACACCAACAGGGCTCACAAGATGAGCAAGTCAACGCTGCTGCTGCAGGTGTGCCCGGGAGCCCAGAAGCTGCAACACAGCGTGCTCTGGCCACGTGAGAAGAACCCATTCAGAGATGAGTGCAGCAGATTTTGTATAATTCTACGCATTCATTGGTCTGGACTGCAATTCCCTTAGCCACTTCGTAGTCGCTCTTAAAACTGTAGCGCACAATCGCGACCCTATAATGCACATAATCGTACGGTGCCCCCGAATCCAGTCATGCTTTGATTCATACTATTGTGCAGTGGGAAGCAGGGCCAAAGATAGCTTAATAATCCGGATAACATGGGGACCTTTCTATACATGTAGCCTAATAGGCCGCTATCCGATCTTCGCACCCATCATGTAAGCGGCTCCATAACAAAAGCCGCCAATCAAGGTACCATACCCGAACTTGGAGACGGAAGTCTACAACAACATCCTCAAGTGGACGCCTGCCGGTGTCAGTGGCAATTGCACGTCTGGAGCATGAAGATAATGGCCCGGCGGCTGCGTTCAATGGAAGACGAGCCAAAGATGGATGCGCATAGCTGTTGGGGAAGTTAATATTTTACATTTTGGGAAAGTGCCAAGCAACAGGAGCAGGTTTTTTTTTTTTTTTTGGTCATCGCCCGGATATAAGACCGTATACGTATTATTTTACACATTAGGAAAAATGTTAGGGTTGTTTTGTATTTGGGGAGGTTTTGGGTGTCTTATAAGTGTTATAAATATAACAACTTTATGCATCTGTGACATTTACGTAGTTTTCAGAAAGCTTGTTTTCTTATTCTTATCGATTGGCATCAATAAAATTACAAATGGCTTCTTACAACATTTGCATCAACATTGAACACAAGCTAGTGCATACTAATAACACTAGCTAAGATGTACCTTATCCAAGTGGCATTAGCAAAGCAGTTTACGCTGGGGTGTGTGGTGGGAAGGTTGAATGAGCCGTTTGAAATCGAGAAACGTGGATGGAGGGAAATAAATGAACTCCAACCCACGGTTTTTGTAGTTGGAGAAGGGCATTATGCCACTTCGACGATGGCAATTGTGCAGTACAAGCAGCTTCGCTTTCACAATACACAAATTTGAAAAACACTATGCGTGTTTAAATTGTATAATGTATAGAAACCACCCAAGTGGCAAATTCGTTGATTTTGGCCGGCGTTGGGGGCAGGGCCCAAAATTTCAGGGGTAAAATGCCTTGATGACCCCGGGGGCTGGCTGCTTTTTCAGAGTTACCCTATCAAAATCAGGATCCTTACGCAAAAAGAGTTTGGTTCTTTTTACACTGTTATGAATTATGGTTAGCCTGACGGTATCAGGGTTGTGTGTACTGTCAAATGTTGTAGTCTTGGTGATGTGTATTATAGGTACAACTATTAGGGTTAGGTTTATGTACCCCAACCAACCTTAGTGAAACCAACACTTTCATTATTGACATGGTATCACCTAGGTTAGGATCCTCTCGGATCCCGTTCGTTCCGCAATAGCCGACCACGCATGCAGCGCCTATCACGCCCGTCCCGTCCGTCCCATTGCGTCGCGCCCGTTGCATTTGTCTGGCCCGTTCCGTCGCGTTTGCCCGTCCCGTCGCGTTTGCCCGGTCCCGTTCCGTCGCGTCGCGAACGCGCCCTGCCTGTCGCATCGTTTTCCGGTCCTGACCCGTCCGCACATGCTGCGCGCCTGCCATGCGCCTGCCGTCCATATCTGCTGAGCGCCTGCCGCCCGCGCCTGCTGCGCCCGCTGTGCGCTCGCCGCGTCTGTCCCATTCACGACCGTCGTTCTTTGCGCATTGCTCGTCGCGTCCGCTACGCCCTGCCCGTCCAGTTACGCTTCCGCTATGGCGACCCCTAGGGTCCTGCGCTTTGACGCCGAGGGTAGGCCGCTCGAGTTCTCCGTTTGGCTCCAGCATGCTCGCTGCCTTTTAGAGAGTCAGGTTCAAGCGGATATGTCTTTGTGGGCGCACGCTTCCGGCGACATTCCTAAGCTTGTTGATCCAGCACCCTTAGGCGCAGACGCTAGCTCTGCTGACCAAGACCGTTACGCCCGCCAGCGTGCTGACCACACAGCATGGACGTCGCGTGACGCTGCGGCCTGCATCGCCCTTAGCAGCCTCCTCCCTGAGTCTGAAGAGACCTATTTCACTCAGGTTCGTACGGGTAGTGAGTTCCTGACTGTGATCAAGGCCCGCTACGCCACTCCCGCCACTGTCTCTCTTGGTCGCCTGCTTCCTCGCGTTCCTGTTTCCTGACCTCGCCTCATTTTAGCGCTCTACTGACTTGATCACTCACCTACGCTCGCTCAATTCCAGTTTCCGTGCTGCCTGCACTGACGAAGAGCTTGCATTGCTCCCTTCCCCTATGGCGATTACTATCTATTTCATCGCCTTGGCCTCTCGGACCGCCTTCCTTGGTTCATGACGCGCTTCTTCTCAAGCACCCTAGCGAGCTCACTATCGAGGTCCTTGAGTCGGCCCTTAAGGACGTCGAGAGCAACCTCCGCTCAATAGTCTCTGCCTCTGGTGCTGTACCCCCTCCACTGTTTCACGAGTGCACTGTTCCTCAGTTGCCCACCTTTACTGCCTCCCTCGCCACTGCCGCTACTGACGTGACCGCAGCTGCTGTTACGACTTCCTTGGGGTCTTGGGGTAGGAGTGGCAGGAGGGGCGGTCAGGGTGCGGGCGGAGGCGGTAGGGGTGACGTGGCGAGCGGCGGCGGCGGGAGTACAGGGGCCAGAGGAGCGCCTCGTGCACCGGCCGGTGACTCCCCTACTGCAGCTGGTGGAGGTGACGCCCGGGTTTGTCAACCACCTACTGGTCTGCCAGCCGTAGGGGGAGGAGAAGCTGCGTGGTACCAAACTCAGCAAGAGCAACAACAGCAGCAGCCCCTCCCCTCGCAGCAGCCGCAGCAGCAGCGGCAGCAGCAGGTTTCGGGGCAGGGGTCAGGACAGCATCAGCTGCAGCGCGGTGTCGTCCACCCTCCCTGCACCTATCACGTTCTGACAGGTGCCCGCCGCGGCCAGCCTTGTGGCTGCAGCCACCCACCGGGTCAGTGCTTTGCTCAGCTTACAAACATGTTTCGGTTGGCCTGCGGCGTTGACGGCCCTTCCCCTGACTGGCTTCCCCTTGTTCGCTCTGTGGGGCATGTCGGCTTCTCAGTTGGTTGATCTCTTAGGAACTCCTCATGCTATGTATGCTGTTGTTGACTCTGTTTACTCGGGTGTTTAGGTACTAACCTTGCTGAGGTGCCTGTTGCTAGTGTAGGTACTTGTGTAGACACTAGTCCAGGAGCTGCTCCGGAGGATACGTCGCTGTCTTTCACTCTCGACTCCGGAGCTTGGCAATGTTTCTTCCGCGACCATACGACACTTACCCCGCTTCCTACGCCGGTCTCTGTAGCACTGGCGGATCCCACTTCGGGACCAGTCACTGCTCGCTACACTACTACGCTTCCGTGCCCGGCTGTTCCATCCGGTTTTCTGACCGGCTTCCACGTCCCCTCGTTCTCGAGGAACTTGGTGGGCGTGAGGCCGCTCGTGAGTCAGCACGTGAGTGTGTGGATTGAGCCTTCTGGTGAGACTGTAGTTTGTGTTGACGAGGACACATACGAGTCTCTCGCCACCTTTACCGCTGAGCCGGGCTCTGGTCTCTACACACTTCACACTGGCCCCCGAGGGTAGCAGCCACAGCAGCGGCAGCGGCAGCAGCAGCAGCGGCAGCAGCAGCAGCAGTAGCAGCAGCAGCAGCTACTGCCCCCGACCCCGGTCACTGCCCCCTGTCAGGTTCCCTCGTCTCACCAGGTTGTCGCGTCCCCCCAGGTAGCTGTGTTTGGTCAGGTTCCAGTGTCTGGTCCAATTTTTGCGTCGTGCTCCTGCCGGTCTCTTGCCC